AAAAACTGCAACTTTGCTGGAGGTTGTCGCGTCAAGGGTTTGAATCCTGAAATATTAATTTGGCCCTTGGGTAAGTGCAAGTGTACAAGCAGCCTTCCACCCTATACTCTTTGAGGCATAACCTACGATTTACCTCCTTCACTAAGGCCCAGGACAGGACAGGTGGGGGCCGCTAAAAATGCGGTTCATCCTTTTAACAACATAGCACTTCTCAAATATGTTTTCATCTGTTTAAAATGGGTCCAGAGTTTTGGGCCTCAAATTACTAGGCATTTGAATTTAATAGCTGGACGAAGCCCAATTTCATCATTGCCATAAATGGATCGGATTTTGCATCACAGCCCAACAACCTTCTCACACGTCTAATGTCCTCTCTCTTACAGTATCTTTGTAATAGTTTTACCAATGACATTGAGTTGGTCAGTAGGCTGAATGCCATTGCGTAGTAGTGGAACTAACACTTCTGTTGTTGTCGAACAGTGTTCCAGACCCAGATGCATTAGGTGAGGACTCCTGAAAATTCAAATGCTTTTGTGACGGAAATTAATTTTTTTTTGTGTAGGAAATTAATTTCTTTTTGTGTAGATTATTTGGAAGCTCGCGTTGATGTGAAGATCAGAAATGTGCAGAATACCATAACTCACCATGTGGCTGTTATAATTTGATCACAGTTATATGTGAAACTGGGCCTCTAAATGGATGAGATTTGGCAAGGGTAGAAACTAGCTAGGCCCAAATGAATGCATACGCATGGATGCCTTTATGGAAAACAGAAGCAAAATTTGATTTCTGGCGACTTCCCATGAAAAATCCAATCTTTCTTGAATCATTGGTATTATTTCATGAGATGTGAACTGAAATCTCTAAATAAGAGATAGATTTCCATTATTGTTTCAATAATACTACGTTGAATTGCTTATATCTGCTGGAGCAAATTGCTATTTGCCGGTTCATTGTTAGACATATTCTGGATCTTTCACGAAAATTTAGTCGGGCAAATGTCCTCTTTGCTTCCAATTTCTTTATCAAAATGTTCTGAATCATATCATCTATTAGTTGCTTCAGTCCTCAGAGTGCGAGCATGCTTTTTGGTTGTAACAGACTTGAAGAACTCGAGGTGATTAAACTGTATTTTAGCAAACTTGAAATTATTCCTTGATGGTGGACTATGTCGTTGTTATCTTTATTGGTGCAATGTAGTCCTAGAACTATTAGGTTGCATTTTGCTTGGATTTCCATAATTGCTTTTATTCATTCAACAAAGTAGTATCTTAGCCATCCTTACATGTAATGGTTGACTCTGAATTTCAATGCTGGCATTAATGTTACTCGAATTTCTGTCGAAAATCTGTATGAAATTATGAATATCAACCTATGTTACAGATTGACTTTCTAAGTAAAAGCTTTCGATTGAGGAAAATTCTATTTGTACATTGACGTCTTTAACAGAAACAGATTAAGATCATATCATGAGCAAGATTGCGTTGTTTCTCCTGGACTTTCCTTGCTAGAAGCTCACTGCGTTGGATCTTCTTTTGCTTTAAGGATTCTGTTTTTCCTTCACGTTAGTATTTCTTTATCTATTCCGTGTTCTTCTTGCATTATTACCTAGGATCTGGCATTTTTAATTGAGAAAATGCATTGCTGCATGAACTGGATGCATGCAGCTTGATGTTTTTCAATTCATGGTTCAGGATGGTATGAATTGTGAAGATTTAAAGATGATATTTTTACTTATTTTATGTATTATCTTTGTTTATGAGAGCAAAGTTGCCTTTTATGCCAAAAAAAAATAGACTTTTTGGATGGGAACGTCAATGTATACAACGAGTTACAAACGCCAAATATTAGAATGTTGGGACAAAAATAAGGATGGCAACGGGGCAGGGCTAAGAAATTCCCCTCCCCCCACCCCACGTTAAAAAAATTTTTTTTTAAAGTTTTTTATAATTTATTTTTATTGTCCATATTCATTAGATTTAAACAAATAATTTAAGTTGCTATTTTCTATTAGAACTAATGAAAATTTTCAATTAAAGTGTTGAATTCTAAAAAAAAAAAAAATTAAAGGAGCGGGGCAGGGCCCCCGTTACTTGTCCCCGCCCCGTTATCCGATTAAGAGGGTTATCTCCACCCCATTTGGGGCGGGCCCCGCGGGTATCGGGTTCTTTTATCATCTCTAGACAAAAATATTAAAAATAAAGGTTGAGGGCATAAGTGCAAAAATTCTGAAGGTTGAGGACTGCACATTGCAGTTTTTCCCAAACATTTTCACTGTTTTTAAGTTTAGTTTATTAAAATCAGATTATTATTTTTTTTAATATAAATTTTAATAAAAGTTGATAAAATGTGTGGTTAAAAATTTGTGAATTTTATTAAATACGTGATTAAGTGTTTGTTTGGTAGGGATTTTTGGGGAAATAATTGATTTTTGAATAGTGATATGATGGGAAATGTGTGATTGACAAAGAAGAAAAAATTATTGATGTGATGGAAAATATTATTTTATTGAAGAATGTGTGGTTGAAAATGAGCCCCTGTTTGGCCCCCATTATTGTAGATTTTTAGGGGGTTGAAAATTTTTAGAATAGTGATTGATGGGAGATGTGTGGTTGAAAAGTTTTAGATTTGTGTGTATTATTATTTTATTTGATGAATGTATGGTTGAGATGAAGAGAGAGAAAAATTTAATGTAATGTAATGAGATATAATGGGAGGCAAACAAGGGCTGAGAATTGATTTACTGTAGAATTTGAGAATTAAAAATAAACAAGCCCTAAAATTAATTATTAATTTAAATTAAATTAAAATCTGAATTTTAATTTATGACTTTAAAATATGAAAAGTGCTAGAGGTACATTACCAATGACATAATGGTTCACATAATGTAGATGTGGCAGTCATCAACTTATTGATGTGTAAGTATGAAATTTGAATTAAAAGTTGGATCAGCTGCC